GGTCACAAGCTGGCGGAGGGAAGGTTTAAGTTGGACATCAGGAGGCGCTACTTCACGGTCAGGGCGGCTAGGGTCTGGAACCAGCTTCCAAGTGAGGTGGTGCAGGCTCCCACCCTGGGGGTTTTTAAGAGGAGGTTGGATGACCACCTTACTGGGGTCGTTTGACCCCAGTACTCTTTCCTGCCATGGCAGGGGGTTGGACTAGATGATCTGCTCAGGTCCCTTCCGACCCTAGAAACTATGAAACATGGTTTGCAGATATGTCCCATGTTGTCAGTCCTTCATGCTAGACTCAAAGATCCTTTTCTGCAGGCTTATATATTAACACAGTAAGTATAGCCTAATGCACTGAACCCAAGACCAAGCATCACAAACTTGATTTAGTTCCTTAACTGTCACTTGTTTTGAATGAAATACACTCTATGCAGGGGACCAGAACAACAGCAGGGTGGCCAAAATTTTCAAACTGAACCCCTAAAAATATGGGCCATTGTGAAATAAACTTATCAATAGGATAAGTGCTGGTATTTTTCCTGACTGCTATCAGTTTGAGGTTGCCTTATGTCCTTACATTTCAGGGCTCAAAACAGGTTTAAATTTTCTAATATAACTACTGGGGCTGTTACCATTGCCCATATATTTATAAATTAAGTTATAATGTATTTCCTACCATATCCATATCTTGCCCCCACGTGCACACAGAATTGTGTGAAAAATTATGCTATTTGCATATTGACTTGACCCTACACTTTGCTGGAAGGGAGTTCAGTAAAGCTGAGGAAAAGGAGTTTCTGATGCTAGCAGAAGGCTAAGTAGTACATATTAAAGCAACCTAAGGACCTTCTACTAGCTTGTCTTGACAACCAGGACCATTATTCCATAATGCACTCTGTTCCTGCCCATTCTTCTCTTAAAATGTCCCTTCCTAATCTCGATAGGCACCATTATGCACAGAGACAGCTTCACTGACTATGCACCAGCTATGTTATAACTGTTCCTTTGAAAGAGTTATCACCAGCAGCTCCACCAAGCTCCCTTTGGAGCCCCTTTCACCAGCTGGGCAATACAAAGGAAGCTGAACATGATGGCAACTGGCCCGCTATCATCAGTTTGCTACTTTCTGGGCACTGTATCCTATTCATCCTCCAAAACAAATAACTTAGTGCTTAGGGCCAGATTCTATGGCACCTCCTGGGCATCTATGTGGACATAGGCACCCAAGTGAGAGTCTATTCCACCCTGTTCAAGCCCCTGAAAATGCATTAATGCATTTTGTACCATGCCATCATCTGACCTTTAAGACCGAGTCAAAAAAGCAGTGAGGAGAAGGAGGAGGAGGACTCACCCACCTTCTGTACCAGTGGAACTACAGAGACTTCAGCAGAATGGCATAGGATCACACCGAGGTCCACTTGTATGCATAATAGGTGGAATAGGATCTGGTGTTAATTCTATTTGCTGTGGTAAGGAATGCACATTTCAAATGATTTGTTTTCCTGCTAACATATTTCTTTAGATAAATCACAAGGAAGTTCACCCCGGGGAGGCGGGGAGGGGGTTAATGTTAAAGCATGACTAGGCAGGAAATTCAGAGTACTTTCTGCACTACATATCATCAGCATCCCTTCCTGCCCTTCCTTTTCTTTAAAAATCAGGCTTGTAGTTGATATTTAAATTAATTAATGTAATTTAATTGTGACCAGCTCCTTCCTGAGTGAAACGGATAAAAACCCAAGAGTATTGCTGATCTTTCAAAGTCTTTGAACACTACCAGAAGGATGTGGCTATACCCCCACTTCAGAATAAATTGTAGGGCCTTACTGAGAGAACCAAATGGAGCTCGCGGTCTTTGGCTGCCTCTGACCCTTTAATTAGAGCAGCAGGGTGGAAGTAAATAAACTCTGACTTCTTCCTTTATGACCTTCGATTTCTGACAGGAACAAGCCACTCTGGAGAAATGTTTTAATGACCAAAGTCTTTACTAGGTGGGGGTGTGCGGGGAAACATTTGATCTTCCATCACTGGTACAGCAGTCTGCCCAGGGACCAGACACTGCTCGCTTAACAGAAACCTGCTAAAAGGAAGGATGAACTATTAAAAGATGAGTTTTATTTTTGCTCATTTCAGCTGAATTGGAAGCAACTCTTGTTCAGCCCAGTCATGCTCTTTAATTATTGTCTCCTCTGCATGCCCTCTCCAAGTTAACAGAATGTGGTGCAACTTCTTTGGGAGCACATTGAGGGTACGTATATTTGTGTTATTCGTAGAGTTGCTAGGGGCCTCCAGGTCACACAGTTCAAATCCTGCTCAGAGGCAGGATTTACTATTCCAGAAGGCACAGGTAAAGCTCTTATTTGCAATTTGTTGTCACTTTTAATAGCTCCTTCATGCTTCCCCTGACTTCAGTAGGCTTATGCTATTTGTGCCAGCCAAGGATTTGGCCCTTCACTTCAGTACCATGATTCACTAGTTGGACTCAGTCATATGAAACATGCTGCAGGAGACAACACAAGGTTAGGTTACACAATACAGCTGAAAAAATTGTCTCCATTGACTTCATCTGAGCTACATCAATTATATTAGTGAAGGTGGCCCTAATTGGATTAGGATTGTATATCCTAATGTGGGATAACCTTTTTGGCAGGTGTGCCACAAATGAGACTTCACAGCCTCCTGGAGTGCCATTACAATCCCTTTCTCCTGCCTAATCCACTTTTTGCTCCCTCCCTGATCTGCTGTTCTGTTTTCTGCTCCCTGCACTATGTTTCCTTCCTGATTTGCTGCTCTTCACTCTACCTTATCTGCCACTGTGTTCCCTGCCCCTTCCCCAATCTGCTGCCATACACAACAGCTGCTCATGCCACTTGTGGCAGCCTGCCACAGGTTGGCAGAGCCTGGAACATCCTAAGAATTGAAGCACAGCCAGCGAAAAGTAAGTAGGTCATACCTCAGCTACAGTAAATCAGTACAACTCTATTGACTTCCATGATTTAGATAAGCTGATGATCTGCCCTTTTTATTTCAGATCAAGATTTACATAAGGTTTATTTTCAGCAGCATGTTTTCCTCCAAATATACATATTCTTGGATAGTTTGAACATATGAGACAAGCCATGTCACTTTGTTCCTCCTCGCTGCACCCCAGGACACACTATTGGTTTTGTATACAGAAATAAAATCCTACCCTTCTCTCCATCAACAAGGCAATATAAAAATCACCTGCAAAAACTTTGTGTTGCTGTGTTACTGCTTCCTAGACTGTGTTGAAGCTTCCTGTAAATTGTCCTTTTCAAGCCTTGTTATTGCAAATATGAGTTGCATTTTCCTCTTTTATTCCTGCTGCTTTATTATTTATATTTAATCAGAAAGAGGTTTCTTATTCTACAGGCTGGTGTGAGCTGCCTGCACTGTGGGAGGGCTCTCAGCATTCAAGATACAATGCAACTCACAAAGGCTGCTTTTTTTTCCCCCCCTTTAAATCCCTGTTTGGGTAGAAGAAACTTGCTTCTCCACATCTCCTCTCACTG